GTATGTAAATACATTACTAGAAATATATATTTAAAAATTCAATATGTAGACACGGTGAAAAGGTACAGCTAGTAACCTTTCACGATTTCACTGCAGAACAGATAATGTTTCTGTTTCTTGTTGTTGTTGTTGTTGTTGAACAGTAACTTCTAAACCAGTGTTTCCCAAACTTTTTTTTTTTTAAGTCACAAACCTTCGCTAACCAAGTCAATAGACATTATTCGTAAATCTATTCGAACAATTTTACTCAGGTTTTAAACAACGAAAAACAGTAATTGAGCCACCAAAAAAAGTTGGCCTATTTGGACATTAATTCTCCTGGGAAACATGATGCGAAACGACCCCCCAAAAAATCTCTTGCGACCCACCCGAGGGTCGCGACCCAGTCTTTGGGAAACAGTGTTCTGAACTAATGTCTTTTTTGTTGGTTACTTTTATTATACTGCATTATTTAAGAATTGACACCCTCCCATTTATAATTTGTCCTGCAATATGAGACCCCTCCCCTCATCTGTAAATGGTCTAAATCTGTCACACACCAGATTTGTCCAAGGCAGCAAGTCAGGCATCGTATACTGTAAAGCTACGTGGTCACCATGCTTCTCTTTGCTTTCCCCGTGGCCCACATTTGCTAAAAAATAAATAAACAAAAATCAAGTACAATAAATCTGAATGGATTTTCAGGAAACATATTTATATGACCATAGCATAGCATAACTATGAAATGGAGAATTTCAGAGGATGAATTTCTAGCCATTTTCACTACTCTGTACTGTAGTTCAAGGTTAGCGCTCATGACAATGACTTTTTTTTTTTTTTTAGCCTAGGCTTTAGTCTGAGTGACTACACAGTTTCAGTACTGTTATAAATAATGATAAATTGATTAAGGATAGTCATAAATCCTACTTTACAGATTATAGTAGGTTTTTAAAGTGACAGCAATCATTGTGTTGCAAACAACGATGACGAGAGATTCAGCTGCTGTCCTACGTGGCCCGTGTACTTCAACGAAGTACATTATGTGAACGTTAGCATTTCAGTTTTTTCAGTATTTGGAAAAAAACAGGCAATAAATCATTCAATTAAATGTTAGCAGTTGATAACGTATCACACCGTAGCTCCTACATGACAATCGTTAAGATGTAGAAGTTGACGTCAGCTCGCTTTATTTAAGGTTAGTTATTAGTCTGAAAGGTCTTAATGCAATAACCTAAATAGACCATGACCAATAGTTGTCAACTTCAGCTTTCAGCCAGTTGCTTTTTATGTGCATTAGCTTTTTATTTATTTTTTATTTTTTTGCTTTTTTTTTAAAAAAAAAAAAAAAACCATAACTCAAAATGCTTCTAACTCATGTTGCATCTCTCCTCTAACGCCCGCTTCAGTCGACCTGGGCGGGTCAGCGCACGCTGTTGTCAAACAGTCTTCATGCACAGCTGCTGCTTGAGTTGTGTGTGTCCCGCTCGCTAAGATGTTTATTTTGAAGACAACCGTCCGCCAGTCGGAGCACTGACCTGTGTCACGGAGTACTGTGATGTCTGATTGGTGTATCACAGGCGCCCACGGTGAATGATGTCCCCATACTGTCAAACCTGTATGTATAAAAGAGACTTGGAAAAAAAAAAAATCAAATGAAGTCGCAAAAAGTGACCTAGGGAGACTCACAATCTCAAGATGAAAGAGCTGGTTTCTGCTGCAGCTGTCTCTTTTAGGCATGCCAGAGCACAAGTCTTTTCATTTGACCATTTTTTTGACCAATTTTTTTACTCAAGTACATTTGATTCTAACCTTAGTGCCCCCCCCCTCCCCCATTTTTGCACAAATACGCACTTTGCAAGGTGCTTTTTGATTTCTGGTCTCATCCATTGGTTTTTTTAATTAAGCTGTTGGCAGTTCTTTTTATTCAAGCTTAGCTTTGTTCAGTACGATGGTTTGTGTCTCATTTGCTTTTGATTCGTTTGAGTCAAGAGACTGGACGCTTTCTGTTCCCGTTATTTGTCCTCAGCATGCCTTCTTTGCACCTCACCAATCTTGTCATAAGCCTTTGTTTTTGTTTTGTTTTTTACCCCTCACCCCTAAATGTTTTACCCCTTACTGGCTTGTTAGATATCTGGTCTTTGACTGCAAGATTATTTACTGTAGAATTAAAAACTACAAACTGACCCAGGAAGAGGAAACAGTGTCAAGTCAAGTCATCAGGAAGAGGAAACAGTGTCAAGTCAAGAAATATAATAATGATGGCAGCTAACCTGAATCATATTGATCCAGAAGAACAGTTAGAGTCAAAACAATATTCATTTTCACTTCTGTACGTCATTAAAATTGTACTTCATGTTTGTGCAAAACAAATAATGATGTAAAAACAAGAAAGGTTATTTCTAACCTATGTCCAGCCACTGACTCTTACTGCATAAACACACCTTACCCTCAACAAGCTTTCTGTATATAGCACAGTAGTGGATAAATACTGCATTTGACCAGAATTTTGCCAAAAAGAACTTAATTTTAGACGGTGAGGTGGGAAAGGCCCAGAGAAGCAATAGTAAAGGGCAGCCATGGCCGTCGCAAGAGCAGTCCCAGCTTTCTGTTTGGTTGCTTTGCAGCTCTGTGTTCTGTTGTCCAGTTCAGAAAACTGTATCTAGTCTGCCCCTCACTTTAGCCCAGCTTTATTCCTAATACTTCATCATGGTTTTTTTTTCTTTCTCCCTTTTTCCTTGTTTAGGGCCTTTGTCTATCTTAGCAACCTTCTGTATCCAGTTCCGCTCGTCCACCGCGTGGCCATTGTCAGCGAGAAAGGAGAAGTGAAAGGCTTCCTGCGGGTGGCCGTGCAGGCCATATCAGGTAAATCTCAGCTCCTCGCTGTCGTTGGATGCACTAACCTGAAGGGGCTGACAGTATGCGAGGTGTGGGACACATTGCCAGAGTAAAGGGAAGGTGTTTTGTGCTTCCCTGTAGCTGACGAGGAAGCTCCTGACTACGGCTCAGGAGTGCGGCAGTCTGGCACGGCCAAGATTTTATTTGAGGATCAGCAGTATGAAAAGGTAGGGAAATCTACACAGCAACTTAAGTTGTCCCTGTTTCTGCGCAGCAAAGTCCATGGTTTTCCCCTTTGTTTTCATGCAAACACATACAAGTATATTAGATATGTATTATTATTTATTCATATTTAAAAAATATATAATTTTTCAAAAAATATCCTGAACATGAAGTGTATTTTTTTATTTTCAAAATCTTTGTATAAAACTGAACTGCCAAGCGGGCCAATTTTGGCCCCCGGGCCATATGTTTGACACCCCTGCGCATGACACTTGACATCTTATTAGGCTGTATGTGGTCCCTGAACCACAGTGAGTGGACTAACCCCTGGACTGACCACTGTGATTATTAAAAAAAAACACAAAACTTTTGCAGTTCCAGTCGGAGTTCTGCTCTGCGGGACTATCTCGAACAGGGATATCACACGAGGAGCTTCGTATTGTGGAGGGCGAGGGGCAAAGCAGCGAAGCGGAACCCTCAGCCGATGAGGTCAACAACAACACATGTGCGGGTAATCCTTTAATATGAAAACGCAGAGCTGGACAGGTGCTTCGTTAGTAGAAGTTGGGAAGTCATTACTGTTCCACTGTTCCACCGGATCAGTTAAAAAGTCAAATAAACAAGATGGATGTTTGTGAGGAAGCAGTTTTAGGTACATCCACCACAGGAATTTGATTGAAGTTAAAGACAAAATAGTTTGTTAAACATTAAAATGCCATCTTTACATACAAAATTCTATTACTATTTTTTTTAATTACCTGGAACTCTGTTCCTACATGTCTTAGCAACACTTTTTTTTTTTTTACAAGCATAAATACTTGAAAAAAGTACACGTTGAGCAAACCTCTAATCCAGTTGTCTGACAGTAGAAAAGATCAGCTGCAGGATTTTGAAGAAAATACATTATTTCATATTTTTTTTTCCTAGCAGTAAACCTAATACTTATTAGGTATAATTTATATGCCAGATTATCTTCCTGAAACACCCTTGATTCACTTGGATAAACTTGGATATTTATGTGGGGTGGCTTCTTCTTTTTTGATGAGAATCCTATTATTGATTATTTATCCAAACATCCTTTAGTTAAAAAAATTGGAAAGAAAATGTGATTTGCACCTTTAAATTATTTGCCAAAAAAAGCTAAAACACAGAGAATATTAAATCTATAAATCTCTAAAATTCTTGTAATGTCATCTGCTATTTTATTCATGCAGTTAGCAGCTACCATTGTACATCCAGGGGTTAAAACGTACTATACATAGCCAAGGTTTTTCTGTTGTTTCCAACTGTGACTACAGTGTAAACTACACCTTTAAATTACAAACTTAATTTTTTTTCTCCTGCCAGCTGGTGGAGAAGAGCGGGAGAGTCCACTGAAGGCCAGTCTTGACGATTCTCTGGAGCACCTGAAGATTGGTGATGTTTTCACCTTCAGGGTGACGGTCCTGCAGGCTTCCAGCATCTCCGCAGAATACGCCGACATCTTCTGTCAATTCAAGTAAGCATCCGACAACAAGTCGCTGCAGGAAACAATCGTCCTTGGCGGTTTGTCCGTACACGGTTCTGCTCGATCCGTTTCAGTTTCATCCACCGCCACGATGAGGCCTTCTCCACCGAGCCCCTGAAAAACACCGGTCGTGGACCTCCTCTTGGCTTCTACCACGTGCAGAATGTGAGGAGAACCCCCGCAGATCATTCCTGATGTGAACGGCCACGCAGCGAAACTTGACTGTTTTTTAATTTTTTTT